ATAGACCTTGGTGCCCTTCCCTTCCCTTCCCATGGCAACACCGCTGTGCCCAGTGGTCCCAGTGCAATGGCTGAAACACTAGATAAAGTGATCACAATGTTTAATGTTAGTCCTCATATTTGCTATTTTGTTCCCTTCCTTTTTTTCTCAGTTGCTTTGCCCCTCATTCCTTTTATTTCCTTTTCTCTTACTCCATGGCCCCTCTGTGTCTGCTCTTCACTCTTCTGTGAGAAGTAAGTGGACATGAGTGTGCATGGGGGGTAGACAGAGAGGCCAGGATGTATGTAACAGTGATAGAGCACTTTGATGGCATGTGTAAGGCCCTGGCTTCCATACTTCAAATGGAGGGGGGAAAGGAAGGCAGAAGAAAGGAAGGACGAAAGGAAAGGAAGGAAGGGAAGGAGGGAGGGAAGGGAAGAGCGAGGGAGGGAAGGAAAAGGAAAAGGGAGAGAGGAAGAAAGGGAGGTGGAGATACAGATAGATACAGCTTCCTGGGAGGGGAGACTGGAAAAAGTCATCTTGTGGGGAAGGAGATGTGGAAGCTGGAAATGGACCCAGGAAGGGAAAACTAGAATGAAAGAACAAAGGGGAAGGAAAAGGCCCTAAAGGAAGGAAGCCAAGAAAGCAGTTTGGGAGGCTGTTATTGGTAAAGGCAGCTAAGGCATCACTGCACCATCTGCGTCTTTGAAGCCCTGGGACCATGAACGGGTGATGTGCGGGTGGTGTGCAATGGGGCGGGGAGCAGAGTTGGGGCGCTGTGCATGGACTGCAGAGCTGGAGTGGATAGTGCTGGCCCCTTAGCTTCCTGGTGTTTTGCCATCTCTCTTTTTCTAATTACAAAACAAGCCCTTAATTATAGTGTGAAACCCAATGCCAGCCTGGCCTATCAGAGTCCTAGGACCTTGAAAGAGATGTTTTCCTTCTCTCCAGGTTTGCAATGGAAGGCTGCCCGTGGCCAGCTTCCCCAGCACGTAAAAGAATTAGAAGAACGAAGATCAGCAGAAGTAGAGGCCAGGAAGAGCCACCCTCCCTGGGCTGGTCTTGAACTCACAGAGATCCGCCTGCCTCTGCCTCCCGAGTCCTGGGATTAAAGGAGTGCGCCATCACCGCCCGGCTGTAAAGGCATTTTTAACCCCCACTTTAAACCGTTCTCTAAGTTACCTGCTCTTTTTGAAAGTTAGTTGCCAGGAAGAAAAAAAGAAAGAAAAATTAAAGTTTGAGATTTCAGAGGGTGAACCCCCCACTTCTGTTTTGTTGACTGGGAGGAGATTCGCAGGTTGGTTGAGAAATTTTGATGGTTATCCCAAAGCCCTAACATGGATGATTGGTTAAAAGAGAACAGAACTCAATTTGGGATAGATCAGGAATTTCTATCATCTATCTATCTATCTATTTTTATTTATGCTGAAGTTTTAATTGAGGACTAAGTCTACCCCTTCAGTGACATTTGTACTAAAAAGCCCAGAAAAGCATAAGGCCTGAAGACAGTGCACTGTGGCCAGCCACATTGATTTGTCTTCTTTGATAAGAACCTATCTCCCTGTCAGCATCCGTCCAACTGGTTCCTCTACTTTTTGAAGCATGTCCTAGAACAGGAGCTGTGCCCAAGGACAACATTTGCTGTGGCAGGCAGGCACGCACAGGATGATTTAAAAGCTACACAGGACTTGTTAAGCAAGAGGACTTTAGAAAAGTGGTTGACTTGGTTGGAAGGCAGCTCCCACCTTCTCTGATTCTGGCAGAGGTGGTACAAGATGGGTTCAGAATGTGTGCTGGACCGTTGCTGATTCTCATGTCCTAAATGAGTGTGATGGGAGACTAGTGCTGGTGGTAGAGTCCCAGATCACTAGCCAGGGCTCCACTAAAGCTGAATCCTCAAAGGTTGCTACAAACCTCCTTCAGAAGAGCTCACTGTTGTCTGCATGTGTCTCCCAAGAGCACATGTGTTGCCCCTTCAATTTCTCAGTGCAGTCATGGTGTCTAGTGGGAGCTTCTGGATACTGGGAGCAAAGAACATGCTGTATTATGTGTGTATGACCTCTCCTGGATACATGGGGCTCTAATGGGCCCTGGGCTGGCTGCCCCCTCCCTTCTCCCTCTCCTCGGGAGCTGTCCTAATGCTCTTGGAGAGCTTTCCTGCTTCTTTCCCAAGTAAGCCTATTTAACTCTAGAAATGGGTCAGTCTCAAGCATTTTGTTACAACATGAGAAAAACAAACTAAGACAGACATTTTAGACCAGTGCAGCTCTGAGAAACTAACGCACTTGCCAGCCAGGCCAACTTTAGCTCTGATCTGAGTACTCGATCGTGGTATATATACTGTCTCATCAAGAGAGGAAAACAAAAGTCACCGAAAACACATATTAAAAGGCATTTTCTTAGCAGGCCAGGAATTTTAGTGAAAGACATTAGATGCTTTCTCGGACAACTTTGTTAGGTTTCTTTATAATGTAATCAGTTATTCCAACATCCACGGCGAGGCACCTTTGAAGGGCCTCCCTCATATACGGTCAATTCAAGTGTGGTGAACACTGTTTCTTTGTGAGTCTTACAACTCTTGGTCACGAACCAAAAGCATCAAATCTTGCCAGCGGATTAAAAACATATTACCTGTATTACGTGTGTACCTGTGTGTTCTGACACAGGTGGAAAGTCGGAGGGAGGGTTACATGTGTAAGTTGCTTCTCTCCTTGTGCCTTGTGGGCGCCAGGCATCTAGCTCAGGTGGTCAGGTTGTTAATAAGTGCGCTGAGCTGCTGAGCCTCTGGCTAACTCTTCTAAGGATAACTTTGGGACTCTTAAGTATACTTTTACTCCGTATAAACCTGTATGAGGGATTTGGAGTGGGACTTTGTGAGTTCAAATCCTGTCTCCACCTCTAGAGAATCGTTTGACTTGTTTACGTCCCATAATCTCTCTGAATCTGTTTTTGTAAGTGAGACAATTTAACACGATATTGGGAGTGGGTTGTCCGGAGAGCACACCAATGGCCTGGAGCTACAATTCCTACTTGATTAGCGAGAAGCATTCTGCCTCTTCCACGGCTCGCCCTTTCCAGAGCCTGGCAGAAACCTTGTTCTCACAGGTGTTTTGAAAGTGTGACTCTGTGCCTTAACCGGTCGGAACAGGAGCAACTGCTGCCGGGGCCTTGAGACACCCCGTGGCATTCTTTTTGAAGGAAGCGCCCCCATGGCCAGCAGTCTCATGTTTGGGAACCAGGCTGTGTGAGCGAGGGTCCACAAGCCGGCTGCGATCGAGCATCCTTCGGGCAGGCCCTGCGGGCGCAGCTGTGCGTGCGTCGCCGAGGGTGGTGGCGGCAGGCACCCCGCCCTTGGCCGCCGCCTCGGCGTGTCAGGTGGCGTGAGAAGCGCGGGAGGGGCGGCCGC